CCTACGTGAGTCCCTGTGGCTTTGTCTATGCTGTTGGGCATGCCACTCATATGTTCTTTTATTGCTGCGGACTGTTTCATTCTGGGAACACACCACAATCTGCTTATCTATTTATTTGCTGATGGACATTTGAATTGCTCTCAGATTTCTGCTTTAAGGCTACTATGAAGGTTCTGTTCCAGTCTTCTTGGGGGACATATGGTTTCATTTCTAGCGGACTAGGAATTTTTTTTTAAAAAAGAAAAACCTTGTGAAGCCATAAGAGTTGAGTTGAATTTATGTCAGGTGTTTGGACAGTGGGAAGTGCTATTTGGGGACAGTAAGGGCATCTTATCCATCTGCCTCTTGGTAGGAGCAGCTCAAGTCTGTGCCAGGGGAGGGAAGTCTCCACCTGCTCCAGGCCAGAAATGCTCCCTGCAGCCAGCCTGAATCTGCCAGGCAGCACTTAAAGGCTCCTTCGCCCTTCTTTGTTCCCAGGGACAAGTGTTTCTGTTCTTTGAGTGACAGAGACAGGTAGGGCTGACGCTTGTTGCTGGGTGCCCATCAGCTTCCCTCTTGGGAGAGCTCTGCTCAGGGGTGCTCTCCTGGAGCCCTGCCTTACCATCACTGTTCCCCAGGCCACCCCGCAGTTCCCAGGCTCCTCCTGGCTTTGTAGCAGCGTCAGCCTGCACATCAAAGACACGCGCCCTCCGTGAGAACAACAGAGGGGAAATCTCAGAACAAAGCAGGAAAGCCAGGGAGGGCTGATTCACTCTGCAGCAGGATTCATCTGTGGAATCCTTTAAAGCACACTCCCCAGACCTTTCAAGATGTGCTCGGACTTGAGAACATCAATTAGAAAGACCGCCTGTCAGGAGTCGGAACACACCTCTTTATTATGGGTCTGTCGCATAGTTCTTGGTGTGAACGCACTGGCAGTGCTTCCTGTATTGGGTCCCTTTTTGGTTTAACATGCTGCACAGCTTCTGCAGGGGACCTTTGTTCTGCTCTGATTTACCCTTATAAACTCAGTCCTTCCCCACCCTGCCAGGGCAGGCAGCTTGTGACGGTGGAAGGCTGCTGAGAACTGGTCAGGGGACTCCCCAGTGCGCATCATCTGGAGTGGCCCCAGATTGCTGATAAATGTGCCTGGCCATTCTAAGAGCTCTGCCATGGCTCATATTCTCAGAGGTGCTGCCCACTTGCTGATAGTCGCTGTCCGACAGAGAACTTCTCTTCTGGTCCTATTTGTATCCCTTCAACTGCAGAGAAGGTAGAAGAGCAGATGATATTGACTATGCATTTACTGTGTCCTGGCACACCACTTAATGTCTTTAGTGCTATAAATGTCATTTAATCCTCATCTCAAATCTGTGTGGGAGTCAATGTCTCCATTTTACCAACAAGGGAACAAGGGCTTAGAAAGTCACTTGCCCAGGGCCTCATGATAGTGAGGGATGAAGCCAGGGCAGGCAGACCTGACCCTTATACTCCCCCACCTCCCCGGGCTCAGTGGCACCCCATTACCTGTTGTGCTGCCCGGGACCCAATCCTAAACACCTTCCACCCACCCTGAAGTTAAAGCATCCGTCTTCCTCAGGGCTGTCCAGGCCTGCCTCACTGTGTATCTACTAAAAACTTGGCTCATTCTGGGGATCTTGTAGATGGGGGCTGGCTGGTCATTTCAAGATAGTCTGTGGTCCACATGGGCTGCACTGCTATTTGCATGTGCGCCGCAGGGTGTGAGTGAGTTTATCATGTGCTTTGAAGTGGAATTGTTCATTTTAGTTTCTGAGTTTTTAATTTCTTAGCATAACACAAATTCTCTACCCTCTCCACTTTTTGTCTGGGCGATGAGGTCAAGGCACACATTGAGGTCTGTTTGTCATGGGCTTGGCCACCTATGGCCTGTTTGATCCTTTGTCAGTAAGAGCCATACCGTCACCCCCCTGCTCAGCAGCTCCTGAGTTTCAGTGGCTGCCCCTCTGTTGAGCACTTCAAATGCTCTTGTCTACCCAAATGTCACAAAGAGCATCATGTCCTTCCTCTCCCCCGACCCTAGTTCCATGAGAAAAACCTCCCTTTGCAGATAAGGACAGACCACCCCCACCCCAAGAATGCCACACTTGCTCTAAGCTTTACTGGCTCATTTTCCCAACACCATCTATGGCTGCCCTCACTTCCTACCTGCTGTGTAACTCTTCAGGCAGGGTCTCTCTCTCCCACCAGATCAGTGGGTTCATGAACCTGGAGATGACATCTTTGTGGTTCTCTGCTGTATCCCCAGCTCCTGGCACATTGCTGATGCTCAACATGCTTCTAAAAAGTGAATGAGTGAATGATAGAAGGTTCTCCAGACCAAGGCTGTGGCCTAGGACTGCTTAGGGCCAAGTTTACTGTATTTTTTGCACAATTACAAAGATTTTGGGGAGCCTTCCATAACCAGCCTGGGTAGTCTAGATTAGTCAGCCTTTGGGAATCAAAACCATGTCAATCACAGGCCTGCAGAGTGCTCAGTGTGGGAGCATGCAGACTCCAGGGGTGGTGAGTTTCCTTTGTAATGTTCGAATCATCTCAGGGAGAAAGCATCTGCTCAGAATCTAACAGTTAAACAGCCACAACAATGTCTTGCCTTTTATTTTTTCACACAGAAGTGTGAACTTGGTCAATGATATAAAAAAAGAAATGAACATAAAATGACACTATTTATGGACTTCCAGTTCCTTTTTCTGATTTTTATCAATGTCATCTGAGTATTTTTATATAGTTGTGGTTTGCCTCTGTTTCTGCTTTACATTATTTTTATATTTAGAATTGCTAGATGTACACATTTCCATGTGTCAGCAGTTCACATACTTTTTCTTTCTTTTTTTTTTTTTGCTACTCTGAAACTTGATAGTTTAGCTCTTAAGTCATGACTGTCTTTGCAAATAACAGACTTAGAACAACCTTGTTATTTTTTAAGGTGCAGAGTGTCCATGGAATGTTCAACTAGCCCAATTTTGGTGGGTGCTTAACTCGTATTTTCTGAAAACATTTCTCATACAATATTGCAATGAGCATCCTCAAAATTTTGTTCATGTGCTGGAGTTCATCTGTAGGATAAATTTTTGGCAGTGGAAATGCTGGGACAAAGAATATGAACATGTGGGCTGCGGTTGTAGCTCAGTGGTAGAGAGCTTGCCTAGCACATGCAAGGCTCTGGGTTCGATCCTTAGCACCTCATAAAAAATAAATAAATAAAATAAAGCTATTGTGTCCAACTACAACTAAAAAATAAAAGAAAAGAAAAGAATATGAACATGTAAAATATCCTCCAAAATCACTTTAAAAACTATTATGTCAATTAACACACTCTCCACTAATTCATTTAT